GACAACACTGACGAGGAATATGATCGACTGGTTCAGCACCTCCATGATTGTGCAAGGAGCGCCAAGAGAGAGATAGACACAAAAAAGTTTGTCTTCAAGAACTCTTGAGCTTATTTGCCAATGTGGCTTGGCGCAAGCCTCAGGCAACTGCAAGTGAATGTCTGAGCTTGCAAAGCAGTGCAGAGAAGTGATAAAGGAAGACCTCAAAGAGAGAAGAGCAGCAGTGCTGGTAGATGTGGGAGAAGCTGGGAAAATCATTTGCACTGACCGCCTGTCTTTTGCCAACTACAAGACCAAGATGACTTCCCTCCAACATCCTGATGAATCTCTCACATCTTCCAGAAGGGCAATGGAGAAGATTATCCAGGACTTCTATTCAGATCTCTTCGATAGCCACATCCACCTGCCCACATACAAATTCCACAGGAGGTTATGTCGTTCCCAACATTCTCCCTTCCGAAATCTGACACGCCATTTCGTCAGTAAAGAAACAAACAGCACCCGACCCAGACAAGGTCAGACCTGAACACCTGAAGAACCTGCCGTCAGTACTCATCAATACGCTGGCTCAGCTCTTCACACGGTACCTGTCTGACTGCAAGGTTCCGTCCCAGTGCAAAACCAGCAGGACTGCACTACTGTACAAGAAGGGAGACATCCACGACATTGGCAACTCTCGCCCTATCTGCCTGTTGTCTGTCATCTACAAGTTGTTCACTCAAGTCATCCTGAATAGGATTAGCAGAACACTAGATTAAGGACAACCATGAGAGCAAGCCGGGTCCCGCAAAGGATTCAGCATGATTGACCATATCCACACGATAACCAAGCTCATTGAGGTTTCTCAGGAGTTCAAGATGCTGCTCTGTCTAACGTTCATTGATTTAAAGAAGGCCTTTGATTTGTTGAAATGGAACTGGTCATCGAAGCCCTAGCCAAACAGAGTGTTCAAACTCAATACATCAGGGTCCTCCATGAGCTCTATTACAGATTCACTACCAGGATCTCACCATTCTACAAAGAAGTGATCATTGACATCAAGAGAGGGGTTCATCAGGGTTATACCATTTCACCGAAACTCTTCAGTGCCACCCTTGAGAATGTCATGCAATGACTGGAATGGGAAGGAATGGGAGTGAAGATAGACGGTCGGCAACCACGCCACCTCCGCTTTGCTGATGACATCATTCTAATAACACCAAACATTAGCCAAGCAGCACAAATACTGGCCAACTTCAACTGTGAGTGTGGAAAGGTCGGACTATAGCTAAATCTCAATGTTTATCAGACAATGTTTATGAGAAATAGTCTCATTCCTGACGTTTCATTTGCTCTCAACTGAACAAACATCTCCGAATGCAACAGTTCTGTATACCTAGGTCGAGAAGTCAACAAGACAAATGACCTGGCACCCGAGTTGCTCAGGAGGAAGAGAGCAGCTTGGAACACCTTCAAGAGTGTCGAAGAAATAGTTAAGAGGACGAAGAACCTCCTGCTCCGGGCACATCTCTTTGATTCCACTGTTCTTCCTGCATTAACACACGCCTCAGAAACCTGGTCCCTACGAAAACAGAATGAGAATGCTATTCGGGTCTCCCAAAGAGGAATTGAAAGAGTTATGCTTGGAGTATCACGCATCACTCAAATGAGAGAAAGAATCCGGAGTTCCGACTTCTGTCGACGGTCAAGAATCAGGAACGCTGTCTCGTTTGCCAAGGCGTCGAAAATCAGATGGGCTGGACAAGTAATGAGATTTGGAGACGACTGCTGGACTAGAGTCATTACCAACTGGATTCCACGGGACATCAAAAGATCGCAATGACCGCCCACCTATGAGGTGGTCAGATTTCTTTGTCAAGACCCTGAACGATCGGTTTGAGGCTCTTCGTGTTCCTAGAACGAGCAGACACCATTGGGCTACACTAGCATGTGACAGGGATGAATGGAGATGTTACTGGCGCCCACTCGAGCAAATCTATGAGTAACGGGATGTCAAGTGATCAAGTGATCAAGTGTCATTTATTAGACTTTGGAGGCATTCAAATAATTAAGACAAGAGGCGCTCAATGGAGAAAAGAGATATAAACAAATATGATATAACTTGATGGATATCCTATGTAATTTGCTAAGGAAAAAAAATAAGACATAATAAAAACTTTCCAGGGATAAAGGATTAGTGCTTGAAGCCATGAATTTGATCCCTATTACCACCAAGTGTGGTCCCAGTAGTTCCACTGTTTGGGATTTCTGGTGTGACCTCTGGCACTTCGGCCACAGGCATTTGGGATTTCCACAATGCATGTGAGTACCACAGTTAAAAAACATCTGCTCCCAGATGGAAACTACAACCAGAATTGGGCAAGCTGAATCAGTATGACTTCCCTAGACTCCTGCTGAAACCTAACAAATGAGCATTCGTACTTCCATTCATGAAAGCAACAGTGAAGGGAAGGGAGAAAATGAATGTTGTAATAAAGGAAATCTATTTGATAGGGAGTCATCCTGGTGGAGGGTGTGATGTTGGAACACTGTATATGCATGAAACCTTATCATTAGCATTATTGTAAATCATAGTGCCTTAAATAAAAAAATTTTAAAGTCAATTTTGGGGAAACTTTATATCTTGACAGCTTAGCTGACAGTCTTAGTTTGGAACATGGCACATTACCCACATATTAGGATTTTTTTCTTTGTTCTTTGGCAACTTTGGACATTTTCCTTTATGTAGATTTCATACAATTATTTTCCATTTACCCTTATTCTTTTTACTGCTGCATTTCTGAATAGATTCTTCTCAGTTATATTTTTGACTGCCATCAATATGTATAAAGTTCTTACAGCATGTTTTAAAATAATTTATAATCTTGGTTTCCTAATAAATTATTGGTTCATTGTCTTCAATTTCTAGGAAGTCAATGGTAATATAAAAAACAATGTAAGGCTGATCTATTTTAATATTTTGGGGGTTTTAAAAAACCTGGCCTATTAAATTGATTTCCTGCACAGTATTAGAGAGTAGTGATCGTATCATTATCTTCTTCTGACATTAATTGAATGATAATTAGGGAATGTTGTTCCTCTACATTTAAAAATTTCAATATATTTATAGCTTTCATTTGATTAGAATTCAGTTGAAGTGTGCATTCTTTGTGACATACTGGCTTCAATCCTCAGTACCACACGCACAAAGATTCATGGTGATGCAAGTCTTTTTCTGACTTCTTTGGAAATTATTTTAATGTATTTTTCTCCTGTAAATAATAAATACAATAGATTTCTTTAGAGTAAACTGCATTTTCATTTGAGAAAGAAAACTTCTTGGCCATATACATTACTCTTTTTAACAGATTGTTGAATCAACTATTACTAAAATTCTTTTGCATCTATTCACAAGGAAACTCAGTCATACTCATATGTTTCTCAATCAGATTGGATTAAAGTTTAATAAAAACCCTGCACTCCTCACCAAGGACTTCTTAGTACATTGGTGACAGGAATGGAATCTGGCTGCAGAGGGAATGCACTGTTCCCAGTCTGTCACTGTGTGAAGAGGCCCCAAAGCCTGCAGAATATTCTTTGGCCATAGAGACATACCATCAGATCTTTAGCATCTACTGAAAATCAGAGGCTTTAAAATCCCCTGGTGGAAGCTGTGGTGTTAGAACATTGTATGCATGAAACTATCATTAACGGGACTGTAAATTATGGTGTGTTGGGAACTAGATAGACAGACAGGGAGAGCAGTTTATGGATTCTTTCAATCCCGAATACTACCCTGGAATGCTGCCTGGTGGGGTTCTGTACCCATTTTCTGCCTCCTTGCTTGAACATTCTGCTGAACGATGATTACCATAACTTGACACCCTCAGATATGTAAAAGTGTAACCTGGATAGATAAGATAGTTAGGCACCTGATCCAAGAACATTGTTGGTTTTTTTTTTATGACCACTGGTTCTAAGCAATAAATACTATACATGGGAGATAGTTGGGCTCTCAGTCCTCAGGCTGTTATCCCCATGACCCCACGCTTTTTCTGTCTTCTGTCTTTTTTTTTGTCTTTTTTGGGTAACACACGCTATGCACAGGGGTTACTCTTGGCTCTGCACTCAGGAGTTACTCCTGGCGGTGCTTGGGGAACCACATGGAATGCTGGGGATCGAACCCCAGTCAGCCGTGAGCAAGGCAAACGCCCTCCATGCTGTACTATAGCTGCAACCCCTCTGTCTTTTGTCTTAAATCTTGTGGCACCCATGCTTCAGGACAGTTTACCCAGGGTTGGTGCCCAGCAATGACACCTCAAAAAAGTTGGGGAAAAGGTATATCTAGGGGACTTGAGAGTTAGTACAAAGTTAAAATGCTTGCTTTACACATGGCTGACCCTGTCTACATGGTGCCAGGAGCACAGAGCCAGTAATATCCCCTAAACACCATTGACTGTGACCCCAAGCTCCACCTCACCCCAATTTCCCCGATTTTACTCTCCTCCTACAGTCCACTCCAATTGGTGTCTACCACTGGCTGAATTCAACTGCAAGCATAGAGACCAAGGAAGACTGTTAACTCTTTCCCTGAACTCAGTACCCCTGAACACACAAAACAGAGAATTGCTGGGTGTGACCCCAAAAGAAAAAAAGAACAGAGAAGTGTGGAAAGGGCATCTAGAGGGACAGAGAAAAAGTAGCCAACCCAATTTTCTATTTCCAGTTTTATAGGAAGGACTGGAGGGATGAGGTTGTGAGACAGTCATAAGGGAAAGACTTATTCAGGGACGAGTATAGGTCAAGGAACTACTCATCTACCTCAAGTCAAATAATAAGCCCAGATCAGAAGCGACCACACGTGTTTATTTCTGAGTAAAAAAATCCAAACATTTTACTGTTCTGGGAAAGTTTTCCTCTAAGAACTTGGACCCAAAGTTGGTTCGTGAGAACCTGAAACTCCCCACGAAGCCCCTGTTTTACCCCAAGGGCCATGGCCGCACCCTCTGGATCATCTTGCATCACAGTTTAGGGGAGTAGCCAGCCACCACAATGTTCTCTCCGGTGATGAAACTGGCATCAGAGGAACACAGGAAGGACACGATGCCTGCACACTCCTCGGGCTCCCCAAACCTAAGGGGAATAAAGAGGAGGTGAGGGTGCAACACTGAATTCTCGCCTCAGGTCCTGCAGGCCGAGGGGAGTCTCACATTGACCCCTACAGAACAATAACTCACAGAATTCCCATCAAATCCCATCAAAGAAAAGGTCAAGGTGGGTTCCGCAGATTCATGCCCACCCTCCAACCCCAGGACTGAGCTGACCTCAGACTGAACCAGGGGGTTGGCCAGTAGTCTGGGAGAAAAATGAGGATCTGTCTCTTCTTGAACTGAACTTCCACCCCATCCCCACCCTCCAGGTAGACACAGACCAGGAATCCCAAGCTCGACCTACCGCTGCAAGCTGAAGACTTTATTATATTCAGATAACACGTTTGGCATAATTTTCTCCTGGGAAAGATTGCAAATCAGAGTTAGGCAAAGGAAAAGTGGCAGGGATGGGATAGAGATATGGGAGTACTGGGGACCTTATGCAGACAGTGAGGAGGATGATCCTGTTTCAGTGACAGGGGTAGGTTGCCCTCAGAAACAACAGACCCCACAGAAAGGGGAAAGATTGCCATCAAAGGCCTCTGAATAGTGTCCTGGATGGGAGTGGGAAGAAGCCATGTTTGTGGCCCATTTGTTCCAGGCTCCAGGTGGGAGCTTGGCCAGGGATGGGACAGCAGAGACTGAGGCACTCAAGAGAGCAGGGAGAAGAAGCAGCTGTTATGACCCTCACCACTTGAACAGCAAAACAGCCCTTACCACTTGAACAAAGTCCGTGTTGATTATTCCTGGCACCAGGCAGTTGACCCGGATGTTCTTAGGAGCCAGCTCCATAGCCAGAGACTTAGTGAGGCCCAACAGGGCTGTTTTGCTGGTGTTGTAGACTCCCAGCTTCTGAAAAGCAAATGCGGATAAAGGCAGTTGGAAGTGGGACCTACCAGCCCAGGACTCTGGGCCCCAGACTCAGCAGAGGCACTTAGCTCTTGTTTCCAACTAAGCGTCCTTAATGAGACCCAACACCCTTTTCAAGGAATAATGATTCAAGGTGGAGGGGCTTCTTTCAGTTTATAGAAGCATCAAGAAGCCACTACTCTGTGTGTCTAAGCTTGACACTGAGAACGCCACACCATGCTTCTGGACACTCAGGACAGGGCACGAAGAAACCCACAGCCAGGACTTGTTTTATTGCAAACTGATGGTGCCCATAACACTACATGGCTAATTGCTGTCAGATTTTGGGGATCTTAGTGTCCAGTGAGATGACAGAATCCCATTGAGCATGATGCTGGCATTACACACTTTTTTTTGGCAGGGGTGGAGGGGTGCTGGTGGTGGTGGTGGATGGGTTTGGGCCTTATCCAGCAGTGCTCAGGGCTGATTTCTGGCTCTGTGGTCAGGGATCACTCCTGGCAGGCTCCAGGGATCATGTGGGTTGCTGGGCCATATCCTCATACTATCATTCTAGCCTGTGTTACACGTCTTAATGCCACATCTGTGATCCAGAGCAGTTCACCCCTGCAAGGTGGGGTCAAGTGTGCCTCCCCCCTCCACCCATCTCCACATCAGACTTCAAACTCACTGGCATGGGCAGGTACCCTGCTATGGAGGAGACCAGGACCACCGAGCCGCCCCTGCAAGGAGAAAGGCAGATGAGTGAAGTCAAGAAAACATTCAATGAAAACACCAGACATGGTGTGAGTATAAAGTAATAATATTGAAGGTGCATGAAAAACCACCAGTAAGAGTATTGCAAATAACAGAACCTACAAAAACTGCTTGATAAAAAAATTCAATACAAATAAAAAACAATAACACTACTATTGTAAATAAGTGGACATGAAATAATTTTAAAAACCACATCTGTTCAGGAGGCAGCTTATGGATACTTTCTCTGACTTTGACTTAATGCTTCAGCAGACATATAGGAAGCCTGCCCATCTGCTGTTTTTGAAAGAATAAAGTTGTTCATTGATTTTTTTAAAAAAAGAATGATTATAATGGGCTAGAGCAATAGCACAGTCAGTAGGGCGTTTGCCTTGCATGCAGCCGACCTGGGTTCGATTCCTCTGCCCCTCTCTGAGAGCCCGGCAAGCTACTGAGAGTATTTCGCCCACACGGCAAAGCTTGGCAAGCTACACATGATGTATTCAATTTGCCAAACACAGTAACAACAAGCCTCATAATTTGTTGTGAGATGTTACTGGTGCCCACTCGAGCAAATCGATGGACAACGGGAGGACAGTGCTACAGTGCTATAGTGCTGTTGACAACCAGCACTAATGAGAATAATATTAATAGTAATAAAGCGCCAGACAGGCCAGGACATGGTCTAAGAGGAAGCCAGCTAGAGGTTCATGGTAAGGAGGCGGGGGACACCTGGAAGGCAGTGGGCAGCTGACGGGGTCAGGGACACCTGTGGCCCAAGGGCATTTCCCGGCAGTGGCCTTAGGTTCCTAGGAGGCTCTCAAGAGCAGAAAGCCCCTCTCCCCACCATCCTGCCCCGACACAAAGGAGCCAGGCTGGGCAGGGGAAGATGAGGTGGGACAGTTGTCACCCTGCCCCCCTCACTCAAGGGCCCCAGAACAGGGCAGAGTGAGGGAGCCAGGGCAGGACTTGGAACGGTCAGGACCCTCTTTGCCTGCAGCTGCCGCTCGGGAGGCAAAGTCTGTGATCTCCAAGTCAGCAGCAGGGCAGGGAGAGGAAAGCAGGGCCGCCACCAGCAACAAATCTTCACCACAAGGTCGCTGGGGAGGGATCCAAGGAAGGACACAGCCCATCCCTCCTGCCATCCTCCGCTTCCCGGGCTTTCCCGAGAGCTCCAAAAGATGATTCTCGGAGACCCCAGAGTCCGCTCTCTTCTCACCCCCTCTTCTCCATGTGGGGCAGCAGCCGGCTCAGCAGCAGGGCCGGGGCCTTCACGTTCACGCCCAGGATCTGGAATCAGAGTAATGGGGAGGGGTGGGCGGGAGGCAGGCAGTGCGTGCAGTGCCCATTCTTGGGCCACACTCGAGCTGAGCTCTGTGAGGAAGGGTGAGTTGCAGTGCTCTGTGAGTCCCTGTGAGGGACAGACCCCTCCAAGAGAAGAAAGCTGCAGCCTCTGTCCTTCTCAGGCCAAGAGGGGGCCACAATAATCAGTGACTCACGGTGCCCAGTGTGGAGGGACTGGACAGTCACACTCGGGCAAGGGTTGGGAATCAGAGACAGGGAACAGGAGGTGACAGCAAAGGTCTACATGAGTCCTTGTCTGTCAGGAAATGATACGAAACAGGATTTTTTTTTCTTTTTTGCTGGTACAGCCCAATAGCCTGGGCTGAAGAGATAGCACAGAGGGTAGGGCATTTGCCTTGAATGAGGCCAACTGGGATCAACTCCCTGCATCTGAAAAGGTCCCCTGAGCACCTATAGGTGTGATCCCTGAGTGCAGCCCTGCACAAGCAAGCCCTGAACATTGTCAGGCATGATCCCCCAAACCCCAAAAAAGACAAAACAAAAACCCGATTGTGCCTTTGGGATGTGTGTAGAGAATGATTGGGAGGAGAATCAGGAAAGTTATGGAACATGAGGACTGAAATAAGGACCCAAGCAGGGTCTTCAAGAGAGAGGGAGAGAGAAGCTAAGGAAGGGGTGTGTTCCCAGCCCAGGAGTTTCTCACACAAGGATGGGTGGGGCTGGGCAAGACCACAGGGGGACCTCAAGTCATCAGGATTGGAGGCCACAGGAGCAATCGTGTCCCTGACAGTCTTGACAGGCCTCGTGAACTCCTGCTGGGAGGGCTGAGATGGATGGGGTGGTGGGGGTCTCTTCTGTGTGCAGGGAGGCGACTCTGGGACAGACAGACCAAGGGCCCCAAGGGGATGCCAGTGAGTCCAAACCTCAGGACCCTTTGCGTGGGTAAACAGTTACTCTGGCATCTCAGATCCTTGGAGAGTCAGTGCAGAAGGGGTTGCTGGCACCTGGCATGGGTCGGGTGGCTGGTGCCCACTGACACTGATGGCACTTGGGTCAGGTGAGTTTCCTTCCCACCCACAGAGTCAATATTGACATGTATGAGACTCTGTGTGTGTTTGTGTGTGTAAAGGGTCAAAAGAGAGGGTAGAAGATCCCTCACCAGAAACTGGAGAAATAGTACAGTGGGTGGGTGTTTGCCTCGCATGCAGTTGGCCCAGACTCCATTCCCAGCATCTTATATAAGCACAGCGCAAGGAGTAAGTCCTGAGCAACTCTGGGTGTGACCCCCCTACCCCGCCCCCCCAAAAAAGAGGATCCCATACCAGGCCTCACCTTGTCCCACACCTCTTCACTGGCACCCAGGGTGCTCCCGACCAGGGGGTTGACTCCTGCCACACACACCAGGAAGTCCACACCCCCATCATGCTCCAGTGCCTGTGAAGGAAGTAACAGAAGACGGGAGGTGAAGGGATGGAATAAGGGATGCCCAGGAACTCTCTCGCTCCCCAGGGAGACTGGAAACATAAGGAAGGGCAAATACCCAGTACCCCAAAGCCTGTGTGGGAGGGCAGCTGGAGCTGTGGACAGCGGCTGAGACTCAGCCGAGAGACGCAGCTGAGAGGCTCTCATGGCACCCATTTCCATTTCTAAAAGATGTCAGGCTACTAGCCTGGCCCACCTGTCATGATTTTCACTCACTGTCTTTATGCTCCTTTCTTCCCATTCCCATCTTTAATAAATTCCTCTTCCACCCTTCCCCTCTCTGGAACGCCTCTTTCTTTGGCCTCATACACGCCCAATCTATTCTTTATAGCATGCATCTGCCCATCTCGTGTTCCTGCAGTTGTTGTCTCTCCTGCTCTACGACTGTCACTGCCACATAGACACAGAGCTTCATCCAGACCTCAACTCTCCTGCACTCTCCACCTCCACCCCTCTGGCGCATAGGAGCTGGCCTGCTCTAAGGCACACAAATCACCGGGGATCTTTACAAATGCAGATCCTGGCTGAGAAATAGTATAGTTTGGTTAACAGGTTTGTCTTACACATGATGACTGGACCTGGCTTTGATCCCTGGCACCACATATGGTTCCCCAATCTTGGGGGATCAAATCCAAGCACCAGCACTGAAATCTGCCACACAGCCAGGAATAAGTCCTGAGTTCAGCTAGTGTGGCCTCCAAACCTCCCCAAATAATTCTATAAAAGAAAATTCAGATCCCAGTCAGCCATTCTGGTGACAGTTGAGCATGTTAATTTCCCACAATGTCCCAGCTCAGGCCTGCACCAGCCTCTGGCTTCCAGACCACCCGTTGAGGATCAGGATTCTCATCCAGAGACCTCTGCACTCCCTCATGCCAGGAACATCTCTTCTGAGTCACTCCTGGGTGTCTATTTGTCCTATCTCCCCAACAGCTCCTCTTCTGGGTGACATCTTTTATTGACTTAGATGCTAATACCAGAGACCCCAACCTCTCCTGCCAGGGTGGAATCTGCACATCTCCATGTCCCTCACCTTGGCCACAAGCTGCTCCTGGTCCGCGGCCTTCCCCACGTGGCACACCGTACCCGTCACGCTCAGTCCCTCCCTCTGCAGCATGGCAAGAGCACTGTCCACGTTCTGCTGCTTCCGGCTGCTGATCACCACATGGGCCCCATCCCTAGCCAGACGCCGGGCCACGGCCAGACCAATCCTGCAGAATGAAAAGGTTGTGATGATGGCACCACCTATCCCCCCTCTCCCCTGAAACCCTCATCATGACATACTAGATATATTGTATATATGTAGACGTATATACTAGATACACTAGCGTATCCCTTGAGTTGTTTCAAGTTCTCTCAAGAGAAGAGGAAGTGTTGGATGACTGTGTACTTTATCAGGTTTCTGCCAAAATGACCACATTTAATTCCAACAAGTTATAATTACATCAGTTTAATCTGACTTAATACAGAAAGTAAGAAAATGTCGATATCAATTTGTGAAATGAAGTTTTCCAAAACAATGTTCTGACAGAAAAGTTGTAAACAGCCTTAAACAGTTGTAAATAATTGTCCCCAGACTATCTAGTAGAGGATCTTCAGTTCCATTTTCTCTTTGTTCTAACAGGAGACCGCGGGTACAAAACTTAATTTCTCTAAGCCCAGTACTTTTCCTCTGACTTGCAGATGAAAGTCTAAAACTTTCCCTCTATCTCCTCACTCCCTCCAATTCCATCTCTGCAATATTACCATGGGGTTAGTTAAGTTGCTGGCAGGAAGGGAGCACAAAGGCAGAGTTCCCCTCTCTTGAATGAACCAACTCTCTGGCATGTGGAATGTTGGTTCTGTTCTCTGGTCATGAAGGCCTCACCTTAGGGGATCTCACAAGGATGTAAACATCATGGAGAAATCTGCAATGATCTTTAGTTCAAAATATGGGGGTGGGTGGGAATCTGGAGCTGGTATAGAAAAGGAAAGGTAAGTGAAGAGAAAAATGTTTTTGAAGTGGGGTAACCCCCCAAATTACCCCTGCTCCCACCTGTGATAAGCACTCATTATAGATTATTGCTAAGTTGGAGGGGTAGTAGAGTTGGAGGGACAGAAGAGGAAATGTGACAGAGTAGAGGGTCTTCTCAAAAAACTCTCTGAGTTGTCTTGAGATGTTCTGTCCACTGCCCCACAGCCCAGAGGGGGCTTTCCAAAACTCTCTGACTCTGAAAGAGAAGGACACCTTGAACTGCTCCCTTGGGCCACTAGTGGGTGGGGAGAAGAATTTCCCAATGACAAGTTAAATAAAATCTTAGAGTTCTCCAGTTGTGAGTGGTGGTAGGGACTACGTGCCTCTGATCAGCTCAGAAGCAGCAGGGTGTTTGCAGTCTTGGCATGCAGACCTGGTTTCAGAAGAAACTCTGAGATTTGGAGTTAAATGTAGAGACAAGAGTTGTACAGTGAGGAGAGGGTGTCACAAAAAGGTGAGTGAGCAGGGTGAGACTGCAGATCTTGCCTCTGGGTGGTGATGTTAACCTCTCCTCGTCTGGTTCCTGCTGGGGCACTTCCATCACTCACCCTTTTGTGGACCCAGCGACTATGGCCACTTTTTTATCCAGCTTTCTGCCAGCTCTGCTGCTGCTCATTCTTGCTGAGAGGGGGACCAAGGAGCAATGAAGGGCCTTGAAGACTTCTGGCACTGCCCTGAACATGGTAGTCAATCTCTGGTTTCCCTCTTGAGGATTCAAAGTTGGAGAAGAACCTGTAAAGACAATTATATGGTGAAATGCATTCACTTGGTGTTTCCAAAAAGCTGCCGTGGGAGCTTCCCTTGAAGGCTCACGTCCAAGTCCTACTACCTCACAACTTTGCAGGGAAGTAGTGCTCCCCATAGCCCATCTCCAGATGGGCTTCCCCATCACCCTGAGACTCACACTACTACAGCAGAAGTAGTGAGCCCTACTTGATGCCCAAGTGACTGTCTTGTCTTTGTACCCCAAACAAGGAAGGGAACTATATTCTTCTTCACGGTCTTCCATGCATCAAATCCTCCCACAGAGAAACAGCTCTGGATTTAACTCCTTTTATTTTTCTTTTTTGGGTCACACCCAGTGATGCACAGGGGTTACTCCTGGCTCTGCACTCAGGAATTACTGCTGGAAGTGCTTGGGTGACCATACAAGATGCTGGGGATTGAACCCGGGCCAGCCGTGTACAAGGCAAACACCCTACCCGCTGTGCTACCGCTCCAGCCCCTGGACTTAATTCTTGATTTCCTCCAGACTGTGGCAACCTCTTGAGGTCCTTGTCACCTCCCCACCTTACTGCCTTATCCTTGTCCCACAGTTCCCCACCTCAGTAAACATCATTGGCCGCTCATCAGAGAAACTAAACCTGTCCACCTCTCTAACAGGAAGTTTGCTTCCTTTCAACCAAAACCAATTCTCATCCAGCTGGAGGAAAAGCCCAGCCTCTCCCTATGGAGATCTCCACCATCACCCCTCCTGAACCCCAGGTCTACTCCCCACCCCACATACCCAAAGAGCCCCCCACAGTTGTGACCGTAATTGCAGCCACAACTTCTATAGGAACAGCTTTGTCTTAGCTCACATCAGCCCTCTCACACCTCCTCAGATGAAGAAACAATCACTGCCCTACGTGCCTCAGAGGTGAGGCAAGGAATTATTTATAAGATGGATCAGGGATTTATAAGATAGTGCAGGGGGTAAGGCATTTGCTGAGCACAAGGTTGAACCGGGTTTGATCCCCCAACCCCACATATGGTCCCCAAGCACCACCAGGAATGATTCTTGAGGATAGAACTAGGAGTAAATCCTAAGCACCTCTTGAGTGCAACCCTCTCCTCCTATGCACCCCCAAATAGCATCCTGGTAAACTGTGAGGAAACTGAAGACTGAGAACTAAAGGCAGATAGCAAAATGTATATTTGTGACTGGGTCATCACGTGTGTGTGTGTGTGTGTGTGTATGAGAGAGAGAGAGAGAGAGAGAGAGAGAGAGAGAGAGAGAGAGATGCAGTGAGGCAGGGATGAGGTAGAAACAGTGTCCTGTAGATAGAGAAGGGAGCACCAAATAAAGGGTGTTGGGAGGATCCTTCCAGGATGGGAGAAGCATGCTGAAAGTAGACTATAGACCAAACATGATTGCCACTCAATGCCTCTTTTGCAAACTACAACACCCAAAAGGAGAGAGAGAACAAAAGGGAATGCCCTGCCACAGAGGAAGTGGGGGATGGGGGGGATGGGAGGGATACTGGGACCCGTGGTGGTGGAAAATGGGCACTGGTGAAGGGATGGGTACTTGATCATTATATAACTGAAACCCAAGCACAAAAATTTGTAAGTCTACCAACTGTACCTCATGGTGTTTCACTAATAAAAATTAAAAAAATAATAAATTAAATTAAAAAAGAAAAAAAGAGAAACAGTGTTCTGTGAGGTGGACCCTGACTCTGACCCAGAAATGGAATTTCAGGATGTGTGGGAGAGGATAGAGGAGAGGGCTGCGGTAGAACGATACTGGAACGCTGATGGTGGATGTGCATAGTGGCATTGAACCCTGAAACATGTAAAATTTGCATTTTTTGAAACCAATCTTGCCTCAATAAAAATATTTAAGAGAGTATAATGCACATTTCCAATAATGTGTAATATCATTTGATAATGTCAAGTGGGTTGCCTTTGGTTTTGTGGGAAACAAACATTCAATCCTGCCGTTCAAGCCCTGATCTTCTGAGAGTAACCATAAAACAAAATCTGTAGCTCTACTTTTGGTTCAAAAAACAGTGCACACAATTGCTATATCTCCCCCTCCAAAGAGAAAGATGCAGCAGGGGGCAGTGAGCTGCATCTGCCATCCTCTCTGCAGTTCAACCATCATCTTAGTCTTCTAAAACATATCATTAAAAAAATCATAGTGTATAGATATTTGTATGTATTTATACAAGAGAACAAGTATGCATTTTTCATGCATGCTGTGTACATTATAAATAATATAGAATCACATAAAATACATATAAGTAAACATGCGTGTTTTAGAAGATATGAGTTAGTGAGCAAAAACTCTGTTAGTAGACCTAGGATGACCCAATCTGTCTACTAGGAACCTAAAATCTCTAAGTGCATAGCTAAAGGTGTGAAAATTTTTTAACAGATTTTACTCTTCATAATTTTTAGTAAGTGCTGACTGATATTCTACCTTCAAATCCTAATAGTCTTTCATAGTCCACTGCTGTATATATAATTGGTCATTGCAAAAAACTGCTTTTCATTTTGGAAAACTTTTAGATGTACTGAAAGATTTACAAAAGCAGAATAGAGAATTCCTGAACACCCTCAGTCCAGTCTCTGTAATGTTACAATATTAGGTAAAGCAATGACACACTTTTCAAAAATAAAAAATGAGAGACTGGAGAGATAGTAAATTTGCTTCACATGTGGCTAGCCCAGGTTTGATCTCTGGCATCCCATGTGGTTGCCTGAACCTTGCCAGAAGTCATCCCTGAGCACAGAACCAGGAGTAAGCCCTGAGCACTGTCAGGTGTGACCTAAACAAACAAAAAAGTAAGAAATGAGCAAACTGCAACCATATTATTACATGAATCTGCATTCTTTCTTCCTACCTCAGTTGTTTTTCACTCAAGTCCTTTCACTGTTCTAGGATCCAGTCATGACCCCACATTGTATTGGATCATCAGCTCTCTGTAGTCTCCTATTCAGGATATTGTCTCAGTTTTTCATGACCTTGACAGGAATTTGAAGTGTATTGGTCCTTTCCCTTCCTTCCTTCCTTCCTTCCTTCCTTCCTTCCTTCCTTCCTTCCTTCCTCTTTCTTTCATTCTTTCTTTCCCTTTATTCCTCTCTTTGTCTTTCTTCTCATTATTTTTCTGCCTCTTTCCTTCTTTCTCCCCTCCTCTCTCCCTCTTTCTATCTCTCTATCCATCTTTCTTTCTTTCTCTCTTTCTACCTTTCTTTCTATCTTTCTCTCTTCTATCTTTCTCTCCCTCCTCTCTATCCTTCTTTCTCTCTCTATCATTTTTTCTTTCTCTCTTTCTCCTTTTCTCTCTTCTCTCTTTCTCTATCTCCTTCTCTTTCTTTCTTTCTTTAATTATTTATTTCCTTCCTCCTTCCTTCCTTCCTTCCTTCCTTCCTTCCTTCCTTCCTTCCTTCCTTCCTTTTTTCCTGCAGACATTAGTCCAAGGAGGATCCCTGAAAGAAACAGAACCACTTACCTGAGGTTCAGAACTCTCTGGCAGTGTTTGTTCTATGAGTTTGGAACAGAGAGTGGTGCTCTGCAGTCTGGAGTGTGGCTGATCCCTTAGTGCTGGGCTATATAAGCGTTTCATCCCATCTTCCCTTGTCATTCAGGGTAATCCCGTGGAATTCAGGTGATCACTCGCCTACCCAGTCTCCAGCCCCTTGTTGTGTCATAAAATATCTTATCAAAGTGTGGTATATTTGGGTTCACCTGCAAACAGCCCTCCAAGGCATTGTCCTGCTGCCAAGGCTGGCTCCTTCTCACAACAGGACCTGATGGAGGGCAAGAATGCAATGCAGGAACAAGGGCACAGGGTAATAAGTGTTAGGAGGAGAGGAGCTGAGAAAAATGGTGGACAGTGATTTGACAATGTGTGTGTATGTGCACAAATGCACTGTGCATTTCTTGACACTTGACACTTGACACTATATTTTTTTCAAATAATATGAAGGAAATTCAGATCAGAAAAAATCAAATGCTTACTATTTGCAGATGACACAATACTAGATCTAGAAAACCTAAAGACTCTACAAAAGTGCTCTAGAAACAATAAACTTTTACAGTAAAGTGGCAGGCTACAAAATCAATGCACATAAATCTATGTGCATTTTTCTGAGCTTCTCTATGTTCTAGTAATGGAATTGAAGAAGAAAATCTTTTTATAAGTCCCATTTACAGTTGTGCTCAGAAAATCAAGTACCTGGAAATCAATTTAACAGAAGAGATGAAGGAGTTGTACAAATAAAACTATAAACCACTACTATAGAAGTAAAAGAGGACACAAGGAAATAGAAACACATCCCCTGTTTGTGGATTGGTATATCAATATTGTCAAAATGGCAATCTTGCCCAAAGCATTATACAGATTCAACACAATCCCTATACAAATAGTCATGACGTTTTAAAAAGACATAGATCAAACACTGTTGAAATTTATACAGAGTAATAAACACCCCTCAATAGCCAAAGCAATACTAGAAAAAAAGAAAGATGGGAGGCCTCTCTCGGCCCAATTCTAAACTGTACTACAAAACTATAGTAGTCAAAAAAGTGTGTTGCTCCAGGTCCCAAACAGAGCCGAGATCTCCAGGAAGTCCCAGATGGGGTAGGTGCCACATTCCGCCTCCTCCAGACGGAACCCCAGTGACCATGAGCCTCTACAAGCATAGCTCGGGCATGCGGGAACCAGGACTTTTACTCCAAACCGCGCGGCTGCTTATGCGGCCGCACAACATCTCCTTATATACAAAGTGATCAATGGAAAGTAAATTATCCAACGTTTCTCCCTGAAAATCAGGTTTAACTCTTTTACAATCCACAACACCCAATAGGAGAGAAAGAACAAAAGGGAATGCCCTGCCACAGAGGCAGGGTGGGAT